GGGTCCAATGCCTCGATAGAACCCAGATAGATAGATGTTCAGGATGTTTTGATATTATGAATGATACGTGGGCTCATTCTCGATGGTATGACCAAATGAGTCGTGATGACTGACGACACCCTATGATTTGGAATGACATCAAGACATGTGGGTCATGTTAATTGAGAATCGAGATGACATTGAGATGCAAGGTCCTGAGTAGAAGCAATGTCGAGTCAAGTAACTTGTCCTAGTGTAGAGGCAAGTCGGTTGGTTGCCAATTAATGTACATGCATGCGTAGATGACATGTGTGCTTAAATAAATTTGGATTCCGCACAAGTTGTGTTTGGTGGGTGAAGACAAACCTCACCTAATGTCTGACAAAGCCACAAAGTCGGGCGAAAGATGAAATAGGACTTGGGTTCCCCTCAAAGCTGGTTGTGAATATGTCAAGATCATGACGTCGTGCGGTTGAAAATGTACAACCATGACATCTGACACTGTCCTTGAAAAACTCACTTTAAAGGAAGATGTCCTAGACATTTGTCTTACAATCCTCGCCCACGTTGTGACACATGCATGTGACTCAAGGTAGCTCAATTAAGCCACAGGGATCGGGGTGGTGGAGAGCTGACACTATGCCTTCTCCGATATTATATTTTGACATATTTGCTCTAGTAGAAATAGATATGATTTTGGTGACCGGTCATACGACCTTGTGGAGCATCCATCAGGTGTCCAATAGACACCAAATTTGGCGAGCATTCATAGTTCATAGAGACAAACTTAACTCTAGAGTCGTATGACAAAACTCATATTAGAAACTTAACTTTCGAGGTTAAGACATGGAGCCCTACCTGACTCTTCTTCGAGCCTGTTTTTACCTTTTGCCTTTATCTTGTTTATATTTCGACTTAGCTTCAATGCACACTTTCTATGGTGTGTTAGATGATGCATCATCCTCCTTGGATTACGACACTTGTCTATCTTAGCCCTCACATAGTTTGATGGGCATCTGTAATAGCCCAAACTAATGTAAAAATGAGTGATGTGCGCCTTACTGACATTGTTTATGTTTAGTTGCCTGTACTCTGGCATTTAAACCTAACATATATGGAGTTAGGATTTACTAAATTCTTCGGTCTGTTTATATTTTTGCATGGTTTTTCTTTTCTCAGGCTTTACGCCTCCGTGAAAATAAGTTCTGAACATTTTGAGCTTTAAAGAAAACATGTTTGTAGGATGTTGCAAATGAAGCGTGTCTTTAGTTCTTATAAAAGCTATATATATATACATGAACTAGTAATTAACTATGTGCGTATTTTGTTTTTTAAGATGGGATTAGTAGCGATTACAAATATATATAGCTCGGGAATATTTAGAGAATGGAAGCAGACAACTTCACAAGAGAATGGAAGCAGACAACTGATATAGCCCGGGCATATTTAGAGAAGGCTTCCAAGCATATGAAAAAATGGGCGGACAAGAAGCGTCGCCCCCTTCAATTCCGAGCAGGAGATCAAGTTCTCATTAAGCTGAAACCAGAATAGATCAGATTTCGCAGCCGAAAGGACTAGAGACTAGTTCGAAAATATGAAGGCCCGGTTGAAGTCCTTAAAAAGATCGGGGCTACCTCCTACAAAGTTGCACTACCCGCATGAATGAAAATTCACCCAGTAATTCATGTGAGCAACTTGAAGTCATACCACCCTGGCCCAGACGACGACCATCGAAATGCAATCACGAGACCGAGCATTGATCTGAAGCAAAAAGAAACAAAAGAAGTAGAGGAGATCTTGTACGGACGATTCGAGAATTCCTTGTCAAATGGAAGAATCTCCCTACAGAGGAAACCAGCTGGGAACGCGTCGAAGATCTGAACTCCGCCGCCACCCACATCGCAAGGTTTGAAAGGAGTCGGTTGACAGGGACGTCAACCAATTAGGTGGGGGAGGATGTCACGGTCATGCTCGTCCAGGGCGTGTTGCCCATGGCAAGCCAAACCCTTGTCATGTCTTTTCATTCTAGTGTTTTTACTTTTGTAATTCTAGGGCGTATGACGCCTCAAAAATATCATGTCTAGGCCTGCCAGACATGAAATGCTCAGAATGTACTATAGGGGATATGACTAGTTGTCAACTTTTCCCTACCCAAGGTTATATATGCCAAGCCGTTGCTATCTCTCTCTTGCTTGCTTATATAAGTCTCTTTCAAAAATCTCTCTTTCTAAAATCTCTCTCTACCCTCATTTTCTAAAACCTTCTTTTAAAACCGAGGCTAGAGGCTCGATCATACGTCGCTTGGCCGTAAGCGACGCAAGAACAAATTGGCTTAGCTCACTTGTCATTGGAAAGTGAGTGCCGCACATTTGCTAGTCCGCTGCATTCAAAAATGCGATTGTGTCATGCAGCTCAACTGCTTCAACTAGCTTCTATTAAACTCGATTATTGATTTTTGGTATGCTTACCCATTTTGAATCGTTTCAGATGAGTTTTTGGCTTAATTAGAAGCGAAAAGGCTAGCTAATTAGGATAATTGATCATTATATAGGCCGAATGTTTAGTATAAATAGGTGATATTAGCCCATGGATGAGATGATATTTGAACTAAGTTGGGCTAGTCAAGACATGGGGAAGATCAACCTCAGGAGCATAGGAATCTTACATTAAATGAATATAATAAATGAACTTACTATTGGAACTCTTAGGTAACTTTGATAGCACGTAGGTAGGAAGAATTGACTACTAGTCGCACCTATATATTTTGAGGCATTTTAACCTTAGCAAGGGTACACATGGTTTTGGTGAACAGTCGGTTGAATTGACACAATAAAAATGATAAAAACCTATCTAACATGAAAATAAGTAAAAGAGACAAGTATGATAGAGACATCCTCCTCCACTCAATTGGTTGACATCTCTGTCAACTGATTCTTCACGAACTCAGTGATGTAGAATGAGACTAACTTCAAGTCTCTCCACATGTTTTCAGCTGATCTTAGCATTATTGAGTTTCTTCAATCTAGTAAGAACTATTGAAAAAATTTTCTCGGTTCGTCGACTCTTCATGTCTTCTCAGCTAGAGTCTATTCTATTAATATCGGAGGATTTTAAAATATTACATCATGACCATGTAAAAATTAAAAAAGAAATTGAAAAGGAAATGGGTAAGTAGTCATTTTTTTTATTTTTCAGATTTTGAAAATCCTTAATTTCGATTTCAAGAAGTTGAAGAAGGAAAATGACAAAAACATAATAATAATAATAATAATAATAATAATAAATGTTTAGAAAAATTCTTAAAATAATAAAAATGCCCTTGAAGTTTGAGTTAATTACAAAAATGTCATCGCCTAAATCTAGAAATTTGGACGGCTCGAGTAGTTGATATATTCACATTGATCAATGGCTACCATTCAAAATGAAGGTCATTGAGCCCATGATGAGATTTGATATTTCCATAAGAAATTCAATGGAATTTTAGATGTTTCAATATCAATCTAAGGGTTCTTCTCTAAACTATGGTGTGAACATTGGTTTGGAGTAAGAACGAAGCAACGTCTAAGTTATAATTGATTACATTTTGGGTCTATTTCAGATTTCTTCTAAATTCGAAAATTATAGTCCACATTTCTTTTCAAACTTGTTTCTACCCCTTCAAAAGTGATTGCCCAACCGTTCTACGAAAAAAACCAAGAGTTGAAAGTGTTCCTAACCTACTTGTCCAATCAAAAATTCAATTCGCATCCAAATGTAAATGCGTCCACTCAAACCTATCCCGATCACTTCCTAGAGTTCAAGGGTTTCATGTGAAGACTACGAAGGGAAATAAACTTGGGAGATGGAGGAATTCAAGATTTTCATTTTCGAGTCAATTTAGGGGTAAGTTCTTTCGATTATCTCAAAAGAAAGTCTTGATGAGATTTTTTCAAAGTAGCCTTTTGCATTCTTGAAGGAGTGGTACATTAAATCCATGTTCAATATAACTTTTACCTCCCCAAGAAAAATGAGATGTCATCGGAAGATATTAAGAATCTTTATACATAAATTGTGAGGGTACGTGTACCGTATAAATAAATGGATTTATGGGTAGTTTGCCTCCTCCCTTGACTTTCTTTTTCTAAATTTTCATAATCATAATCCAAAGTTTTCTATCTACCGTCATTCTATTTTCATATATTTGTTCCATAAACCTTAATTCAACTTGGTTCCTTCATAAAAGTTGAAGAGCTTATTAAGAGTCATTCATTAAAATTAAAATCACGCCATTTAATCAAGAGTGGATAAAGATTTTCATGGCTAAAGTTTTGAGTTTTCTTATAATGTTACTTATTTGAAGGCTCAAATAGAACTTATTCTCGACCAAACTCGAAAATTAACATTTGTAATACATACCTCCACCAAATACTCAAGTCTTTGTTGAGAATAGTCATACATTCCTCACTTCGATTATTCGTGTACCTATCGGGTTCATTTGGTTCATCCCTCATATTAGTACATTTTCCCATATTTATACATGAATTCATGTATGGACATTAATATTGCTATGCTTATACAAAAGCTTGTCTAACAATTATGAGATGTGTAGTCATTGTCATTTTGTACTTGCCTAGAGACAATTGGGAGAAACTTTGTAAGAGAACATTTGTATTGTGAGAGTGTGAGAAGTATACTTGTAAACACTTTGGCTCCAGTGATTGGTTACCAACTTGGATGTAGGGGAATTTCTTTTCTCCAAACCACGTAAATCTTTACATCTTTTTGTTCATTTCTATTCATGGGTGTATGAATGCGATCAATCTCGCTTCCAATAATTGGTATCACAAAGCATTTTGGTTGTAGCATTTGAGGTAAGGTAAAAGACTTAACCTCATCGACTACGAGATATGCTCACACTCACCCTCCATTATCATTCAAATCATCATTTTGGCATGTGACCCGAGGCTTATTAAACCAGCAATAAAAGTCGGTGGACATGTAAGATCGTTTCAGCCACAGTAAGGCTCAGTATAAGGCTGTTCAAGTCATAAATTGTGCAATACAATACAATGGAATGATAATGGTGGAGAGTAAATTAACAATGGATGCTTTTAAAACTTCATTAACAAAGGATTGGATGACCAACTTGAGCTAAAACTTTGTAAAATCACATTATCTTCCTCTATTTCAATCACTGCCAAAATCTACAAACAACTTTGCATATGCATACCTACAACAAAACCTCACCACTTCTCTCATTCACCACCATATACAATTCCTTCAACTTCCCGTTTCGGTCAAGTCGAGCGGAGAACACTGAGTTAGTCGATCCCAAATCGTCTTATGCCTTTTGAAATGAGCGAGAAGAGACACCGTGTAAAAGTCTCACAAATCCCAGGAAGCTAAGTTTCCCGTCTGAGTGTTGAATCCAGTCTTGGAGAACCACATGAATCGGTACAGATGGACTAAGACCGAGTTCCTATGAGAGGACAATGCAACCCATGTCAAAAAACATGCCACTCTAATCACAAGAATAGCATAGAATACACAGAGAGCATACCGAGGCAAGTTCCTCTATCATTATCGGTCGGTTCCCGTCCTTATCAAATAGATCGTAGGCATGCCGGGCATGTTGCTCCCAGTTCTCCATTGCCTCGAGTTGATATATACTTATGGAAGCTGCACAAAATTCTTCAAAATCTAATTTTCTGTACTGAACGGAACTAACCTGCCAGAGCCATTCAAGAACATAATCAACACTTCTACCATTCATTCTTTCTTCTCAAGGAAAGAGAACTTTTACCAGGTTGGCATAATCTACAACTCTGGAATCCTTTGTTGCCTCTGTTGAATTCTTGATCAAAGCCTGCAATTTTTAAACCCATTACAACATGTTCTTGGAAGTCTTATTTTCGTATTTGATATCGGGAAAAGATCCAACCGTCTTGAAGTTTTGCATCGAAATGAACCCATTTTTGTTCGGTCCTAGCAGCATAAATTGTTTCTGAAGGTAGCCTAGTTGAGAAGCATTTAATGTCTTTGCAAGAGCCTATGGAAAATTGATGTAACACCATCTTAAGAACAAGAAACATGATGACGAAAAGTGAACAAACACGGTAAAATGGTAAAAAACAACCACTCGGAATCATAAACAATATGATAACACTTACGCCCAATGCTGATTTCCGCAGTGACGACGAGCAAATATAAGATATGACAAGCTTGTAAGTAATTGTATCCAATGGCACCTTGATATCTTGTTGATCAGCTAACCATGGATGGCCTACATAGAATAAATTTGTCCTATGATTGAACGAAAAAACCTTGGAACAGCGCCAAGAAGTCGATGAAAAATCGAGAAGCGATATTAACAGACATACACAAGGCCTGAGCTGCAGTCAATCTCTTGCGGTAGTCCTTGTTCAACAGACTCTTCACAAAATCAATTGCATCAGTTGATAAACTAGGCCATGGGGCTTCATCAAAGTTTGGATCTGCCTTTAGAACAGCTCGAAAAATACCCGATTCTGTTCTAGCCCAAAATGGTCGACTTCCACACAAAAGAATGTAAGCTATTACACCAATACTCCACATGTCTGCCTCAGTTCCATACGATCTATGTAAAACTTCGGGAGCGACGTAATACGCACTTCCTACAATGTCATTTAATCTCTCATCTGCAGAAAGAACCAAATAGTTCCACTGAAATCTCCACCTTCAAATAAGAAGTTGTGTATAAACAATAATTCAGAGCTCGAACCTGGTTTAACATAATCAGAAAGCCCGAAATCGATTGCCTTAAGAGTGGAACTCTCCTCCTTCGACTTAAAAAGAAAATTCTGAGGCAAAAATTAGTTCAAAGGTTATTGAGACATGACAGAATCCATGAATAAAAACTCAATGCAAATAATCAAAACTTTTAGCCATTCACCTCGGGCTTCAGGTCGCGGTGAACCACACCTTGAAGGTGACAGTAGGCGACGACACTCAAAATCTGAACCATTATAACTTTTGCATCTTCTTCTGAGTACTTGCCACCCCTAAGAGTTCAAACGAATGCGATGAATGTCGCAACAAAAATAATCGAACCAAAGGAGCTAGAGTGACTCTCGTCCTATAACTTTGGATTAGAAATATACACAGATAAAAGGTTACCTCGAAAGTATCCGATCGAGAAGTTCGCCTCCTTCACATAACCTGAAGAGCAAACATAGTAAACAAAATGGTTGGGTGGAGAAAATGAATAAAAAGCGTTCTCCCCTTGCTTTATAAGACGGTTTAGATGGTAGGCACAATATATACTCACTCCATGACAACGTAGACATTATCGTCATCTTCGTATGCATCATAGCACTGCACCAAGTTCTTATGTCCAGTGAGAGCTCGCAGTATTTTCACTTCTCTTCTCACATCCTCTATAGCTATTGCTGTAGTCATCTGCACATTATTTTCTTCTCATTCAACTTTCATTGAAACATGATATTGGGTTGAGCACACACACAATCATCTTAAATGCAAATGGAAGAAGTGGGGGGGGCTCCACGAACATTTCATTAAAGCAAAAACTCGCAGAATATAAGAGATCAACCTCAAAATTCCCCACATTACACAAGAAAATCATGAGACACCATAAAATTACCCTAAATATAAACGACCCAGATTCATTAATCCAATAATTAAGATGATGAACAGACATTCTCAACTTAGAAGTAGAATCATCACCTTTGATTTGGGGATGATTTTGATAGCCACTTGTTGGCCTTTAAGAGAGCCCTTCTTCGCCCTGGCAGAGCAAGTGTAGCCAAAATGCCCGCGGCCCACTTCGTCGCCAAGGTCATAGTAGGTGGCAAAGTGCTTGGAGTAGCCGAAGTTCTTATCCAAGGCTACATCGCACTCACTTCCTTCAGGGATAGAAGCGGCATTGGGCTTGACGGAGCCATGGCGGCGGGCGAGGAGAGCCCGAATGTGCTTGGCCGGAGAAGGCGGCGGAAAGGGACGCTTGAAGAAGCGGAGAGGGGTGGAGGAGAGGCTGGAGTTGGCCGGAGAAGAGGTCTTGAAGAGATTGGGCAGAGGACTGGGGGTGTAGAAGGGGAAAGTGGTCGGGGTTGTGGAGGTTTCAGTTTGGATGGATGAACCGAGATTTTCCGAGATGGGTTTTGGGTTATCTTCAATGGGCTTTCCATGACACAGTCCCATGGAATCTGAGATCCACTTGAACACACACACACACACACACACACACAAAACCTTGATTCAGTGATTACCAGAAGCGGCGCTACTGCAATGTTGTGATTAGCATTTGGAATTGTGAGAAAACTTGGGGGAATTGCAATTAGAAAGGGGAATTTTAGAGTTGATCAGGAAATGGGGTTCATCCAATTCCGATGAATGATGATGATGGGAAGAGAATAGGTTAGAAAAAACAGAGAGAAGCTCTGTTTTTGTTGAACTTTGAATGTTAGAAAGAGTGAAGAAGGGAGAAGAGCAGAGAATCGTTAAAGAAGAAGAAGAAGAAGAAGAAGAAGAAGAAGAAGAAGAAGAAGAAGGAAGTGAGAGAAAAAGAAATGAAAAGAGAAGGAAAAATGGAAAAAGAAGATAAAACAAAAGTAAGGGAAAGATGCTTAGCAGAGGCCACAAGGAAAAGAAAAGAACAGAGGGGGTTACCCAAACCAAACCAAACCAAACCAAACCAAACCAAACCAAACCAAACCAAATATAATATAATATAATATAATTAATTATTATAATTATAATTCACAATACAACAATCGAAGTGAGTGGGGTTCAGCTCGGATCCTTCCAGCCTGTCTTTATTCATCACAAAAACTGACATAAATGCTTCTTTTTTTCTTTCTTTTTCTTTTTCTTTTTAATTAAACTTTATTATTTTATTATTACAACATATGAGCCTTTCTTATACATAAATCATCCCAAATTATATTAGAATAAAATAAAGAAGAGTAACTAGTTTAATCCTAAAAGTTTGAACCAAAAAAACCCCATGAATCCGAACAAACAAACCATGCTAAAACTACACATGTTAGTCTTAGTCTTGCATTATAGTTTACCATATATATCATATTTGAGCCTTTCGTATAGGTAAATATTTGTTCTTTTCTTTTATTACTTTGTTTATATGTAATTTATTTGATTCTAATCTATAAAAAGTAGTTAGAGGAAAGCATTGAGTAAAAATATAATAAATACACGTTATCTAAAGAAATTAATGATTTTATAATAATTAACATGTCAATTAATTATTAAATATTTAATTCAATTATTGTCTCGTTCATTACTATTAACTAAATCAATAAATTATTTTTGTATTCAATTATTGTGTTTTGTCTTTAACAACGTTTCTTAATTGTGATTAGCGGGTTAATTAAACTAAAAATTGCTCATTGTTCCTATTTTGTTGTTTCTCATTTTCTAACAACATTTCCAAAATTGTTTACAACAAAATTAAGTTTCTCCTTTCTTCTATAACATAATTTTCAATATTTTATTTTTAAAACTAATTTTCATGTCAAAACTTTATATTTTTAAATTAAAATTTTCTAATTTTGTTTTAGCCAGAGTTCTTTAAATTATTTTATGCCGAATTTATGTAGTTTAAATTATTTGAAGTCTTTAAATTATTTTACTCAAAATTAGGTTTAATTAGTTTAAATTATTTTTACCGAAAATTAGGTGAGACAATCACCCGTAAAGATTCTAATTTATGATGGTCGGACTCCTTAATTAGAATTAAATTTCATAAGAGCAGTATTAACTAGCATAAGAGGTAGTAGTTCAGCCTAAGTCAACCAAGTAAGTGGCTTTACTATCGGCATAGTTGAAAGAGTTGTCTTATGTATGATGACACGTGTCATATGTTTGTTATGTTTGATGATATGATATGGTCTATATGATTTGTCTTGATATGCCAAGTAACATTAGAATATAAATGGATGTCATATTATGCCTTGATGAATTATGATACGTTATGGAATGTCATGACATTATGTGACGTGATTATGTTAGGCCATATAAATGACATGCGATGAAATATTTGTATTTATGATGTACAACCCCTAAGATATGTTTTAAGGTTATCCTATGAATGGAATGAAATGAAATTGAAAAACGGGATTGTCGTGTATGATTTGTTTACCATGAAAATTTTGGGACCTCATGCATAAATGTACGTTCATATGCATTGAGATATTTTTCCTTATGATGAGTATAGGCGCGTACGATATGAAAAAGAAAATGATCATCATGTTTAACATGATGCTACAATGGTAGCTATTCCTTCTAGGTGTCTTGACAACACACAAGAGGCACTAGCATGACCAGCAAGAGGCTCAGGGCATGTACGAACAACCTGGTGGGTATATATTCGCACATATGGGCCGTGTGTAGAGTAGTAAATACACATCCGATGACCCGGATTGAAAAGCCACCTAAAAGAATATAGTTTTAAATGATAAGTCTCATTCATGTTACATGTGTTTGCATTTCCTAACCTCAATAGTAGGGTCACTGAGTATTTCTTAAAACAATTAAGTCTTGTGCTACTCTTATGCTCCAAGTAAAGGCAAGACAGGCCTGTTTGATTGACTATGACAATGCGTTAAAGACCATGAAACTCATATTAGGATAGTTGCAAAGACATATCATACCATTATGGCGGGTCGGGATTCTTAACATAAAATAAACTTACATTTATGAGAGCATATAACGAATTAAATCTAATTTTTGGAGGGTACGAAAATTAAGAAAAAAAAGTAACCAAAAAGGTGGATAGCATGAGATTGACATAAATAGAAGAAAAAAAATAAAGAAAAAGGTGCCTTTGGGAGATGCCAAGGATTGGATTCCCATGGAATAGCTTTACCAACTTTTATAAAATAAGAGAGAGAAAATTGAAAATGTATTATATATATGCATATTATAAATTACTCTCTAATTCAATCATTCCATTATTCCTCGACAAATGTAGCTTTATAAATGAGTAAGCACATTGTTGGTAACTTTGCATACCAAATACTTTGGGTAAACCCCTTTCACATTTTAGGGTTACGTTTCTTTGATGTTGTTTACATAAATTTGGAAAGAATTTGATGGAAGAATGAAAATATACCCGTTGCAAATACAGTACCTTTAAAATCAATCGTTAAATCAACGGAAAGCTTTACTAACCATGTATTAAAGAAGGGGTGGATTGTGAGATGATCTCACATCGATTGAAGAGAGGAACGAAACATTCTTTATAAGGGTGTGGAAACCTCTTCTAGCATATATGTTTTGAAAACCTTGAGGGGAAGCTCAAAAGAGAAAGTCCAAAGATGACAATATCTATTAGCAGTGGGCTTAGGCTGTTACAATGGTATTAGCGCTGGACACCGAGCGGTGTGTCAGTGAGGACGTTGAGCCCTGAAGGGGGGTGGACACTGGGCAGTGTGCCAGTGAGGACGTTGGACCCCGAAGGGAGGTTGATTGTAAAATCGCGCATCGATTGGAGAAAGGAACAAGCGCCAGCAAAGACACTGGACTCCAAAGAGGGTGGATTGTGAGATACCACATCAATTGGAGATGGAAACGAGTGTCAGGAAGGACGCTGGGCCCGAAAAGAAAAGATGAGTGGGTTGTGAGATCCCATATTCTTTATAAAGGTGTTGAAACCTCTCCCTAGCATACACATTTTAAAAAACTTTGAAAGGAAGCCCAAACAGGGAAATATTTGCTAGCTGTACACGCATTTTAAAAACTTTTAGGGGAAGCCCGAAAGGAAAAACTCAAAGAAAATAGCATCTGCTAGCGGTGGGCTTGAACGATTACAAGTACAATCCTCATGCACACAAATAGGTAATTGTACTAAGGCCATATCACGAAGTTGTATGCTTGGAGGTAGGTAACTACCAACATGCTATAACATATGATCCAATATAAATCTCATACACACAAATAAATAATAATTATAGTTCTCATACACAGGTAATTGTCTTATGTTCTAATGTAGTTTTCATGCACACAAATATGTAATTACTACAATTCCTGTGCATATAGATAAATATTGTCTTCGATTTGCATGTATATAAAAGGTACCACAACGTTTAAAAGATCACTTTGAAGTTTGCACAATATTATGACAAGTCAAAAATCAATGCATAAAACAATGAAATGCGTTTTGAGTCTTCGAATCTCGGACTGTAACTAAAAAGACAGATAAAAGGTAAATAAATGAAAGCAAAAACACGAAAATATAGACGTTTGTCAAAATCCAAAAAAAAATATAATATAGGTATTGTTCAAGTTATTTACAAACGAAAAATGGGTACGAAATACAAAAAGTGTACAAATGACAACACATGAAAATACAGACTACACTGATGCCTCAAAGCGACACCTCTCTGTGACAACACAGCTCCCAAGCACTTCGCTACCTTGAACACTATTTGTGTTCAACTAAAAAAAGAAGGGGGAAATGAGCAAGTATATCAGTAAGCAACCTACTTGTAAACTCTCATTGCATCCCTTTCCTAGTAAGTTTGTACGAGCTTTTCTCTAAATCAATGAAACTCGGCATATCATATAGCTATCAGAGCTTTTGTCTAGGACTTGAAGTTCCAAGAATATCTATTACAAGTCAATTACCTGTGTGGTCCCAAGTCTCCCTTCAGGTTCAGGTTTAGTTTCACAATGTCAGTCTTGACTCGGACCCATACGCAATAGAATCTTTCATATTTAGTTATCTACCTCTATAGTTCCAACTCCCTCTCCAAGACCAATTTGTAAAATCTCGGCATCCGTCTTGACCTGTTTCTACACGCAATAGAGACAATCACCTTTATATTTGTAGTCTCACGTCTCTTCCAAGATTGGTTTATGGAAATGCAACGTTAGCCCTGATCCATTTCTACACACAATAGAAACATTTGCATTAAATAGCTACATGTATAGTCCCAAGTCACTCCTCATGACCAGTTTACAGAATTACGGCGTCAGCCTTTAGCAATTTTTACACGTAATAGTAGAGTTAGCTACCCATGTGGTTCCAAGTTCGTCCTAAGAACCCGCGGTATAGAATCGCGACATCAACCTAGGCCCATCCTCACACACTATAGTAACTTAAATTATCTCAAAGGATTCCCCTTATACAATTCTTACTACCAATAAGACCGTTAAGATTCCTAAGTCTTCCTTGCTATGGA